TTGTCGGTAAATAAGAGGGCTGAGGGGGTCATCGTCGGCTATCCTCCTGTTTAATACCCTCTGTCGAGTAGTACTTTGTTGACTAGCTCTCTGTGTTCCACCGAGCCTGCCAGACCAGTTCGACCACATCCTTGGTATTCGACCCCTTAACCTTCCCCCCGATCTTCCATTTGTAGTTAACCCACTGAGCCACTGGACACTGGAGCGGCTAGTTCAGTGGGCGTGGGACTCTGCGGAGCTCCTGACGGGGCCTCCGGCCTCGGGTTTTCCTCCTCTTGTTGAACCTTCGGTAGACCTTATTGCAGGCCTCAGTAATTAGATGCCCCGTGGTTATTCTCTCAGCCTCCGGCCCAGCCCCTGATTGTAGGGCCTGCTTCTGTAGCCGGCCCTCGAAGTCGGCCAGCCGCTTGTTGAGATATAGGTCTAGCGGTGGCACCCAGGCCTCTGTTTCTAAGCACCGAGTAGGAGCTGACTTGTATGCCCCTACTACTATTCGAAGGCTCCTGTTCTGAGCTTTTGACAAGACCTTTGCAGGCCCCTTCGGCCCTGTAGCTCTTGGAGCTGTTGGTTGGTGGAAGCTGGAGGCTCCGTAAGCTATGGCACTGCGGATGCACTTTACGTAGACCTCCCGAGCCCTGGATAGGCTCGGGCCCCACGTCTTTGCTGCAATCCTCGATAAGGCGAAATCTTGGGTTTTGAGTTTCCGTTCCACAGCTTGTTGGTGCGCCCTTCCATGACAGCTTCCAGTCCAGCCAGACTCCTTAGAAACCGAGCCGATTCCTACTGGGCTTAACCTGTGCTTGTAGCCACTGGCCCCTGGGTGGGCCAGGGCCCACCGGGGTTCTCCCACTGTCTCCTGACCTTTGTTGAAGTGAATTAATTTCGCACTTTTGGAGGTGCGAACGCCATCCCCCGGGTTACCAGGCCCACTTGCAAGCAGGGTCTTCCAAGGCTTTTTTCCAGTTGCTTGTGTATTGGGCCTCTGGGTTCTTTCCAAAGGCCAGTAGGTTTGTGTCGTCTGCGAACCCTACTATGCTAACCAGTGGATGGGCTGTTTTCAGGGCCTGATATAGGGAGGCAATGTAGAGGATAAATAGGATCGGGGGATAGTGGTGAGCCCTGGGGGACTCCCGCTATGACTGGGATGTCCTCTGTTTTCTGGCCGTCGAAGTGGAGGATCGCAACTCTGTTACTTAACCACGCCTTCACCCACAGAACCACCCACTGTGGGTAACCCTGTAGCCGAAGAGTGGCTAGTAGCCGGGTATGGTTGACGGTGTCGAATGCCCCTGAGATATCCAACTGTAGAAGGGAGGCGGTTGCTTTCTGCCGCCAGGCCTCCTGGACTTGGGCTACGACTAGCCGAATCGCTACCTCTGTTGACCTGTGCTCTCGGTTTCCCATCTGCTCCGCTGGTAGTAGGCCGTAGGCCTCTGCAGCACTAGTAATCCTCTCTGCTACCAGTGCTTCTATGACCTTCCCAACTGTAGGTAGGAGGGCTATAGGCCTGTAACCTCCTGGAGTTCGGTAGGTACTCGGCTCTTTTCCGGGCTTTTGTAGGACAACTGTTTTGGCTCTCTTGAATATTTCTGGAAACCATCCGATCCGGAAACACGCCTCCGTGAGAACCGCTAGCACCCTGAACAGTGGGCGCCCGCAGGCCTTAAGAAGGCCTATAGGTAAGTGGTCCTCGCCTGGAGCCTTCCAAGGACTAATCTTCGAAAGGACTGCCCTAACATCACCCACTGTAACCTTTTCCTCTATATTGAACTTCGGAACCCACTGTTCTAGCAGGTCCGGGTCCTCTATATCAGAAAGGTCAGCTTCTGGGTTAGGGTAGAACCGGCGTGCTAAGGCCTCCGCCTTCTCCTTGTGGGTGGAGAGGTCCTGGCCTCCTGGGGGGCCCTGTGAGAGCGGGTAGTTTCGGGGGATCTGGGGGGGCGAAGCTTCTGCAACGGGCCCAGCGTTCTAGGCTCCATAGCAGGTCGGTTTTGTGGGTGGCTTTCTGCATTGTTGTCCTCCAGGTCTTCGTTTTCTCTTTGTTGATGGTGGCCGCGAGGGCCCGTAGACCTTGGTTAAGTCTTTCTTTGTTGTGCTCCGACGGGGCTGCCTTGCACTCCCTTTCGGCTCTCCTTGCCTCTCCCTGGGCCTCCTGGACCTCCACTGACCACCACGGCGAGCCGTGGCCTCTGTTGGCCTTCTTCCGAGGGGTGGCCACTTCAGCTATCCTCTGTAGCTCCTCGACCAACCAGTTGAATGCTTCTTTTAAACCCTCCTGCTCCCTGACTTGTGCCCGGAGGCCCTGTGGCCCTGGGTCCTCTAGGCCTATTTTCTCTGGTAGGAGGGCCGCCTCGGCCTCCACCCTACGCCTGTCCATCATCTTCCAGTTCCAACCCCCTGGCTGGGTTTGTTGTGGTAGGGGGCCTCCGATGTCAGCTTCCAAAATCTGTGGGTAGTGGTCTGACTTCCCCCTGTATTCCAGGCCGTAGTAGGTCGTTTGTAGACCCACTGATGCCCAGAAGTGGTCTATTGTCGAAGTGCGGCCTCGCTGGGCCCCCTGCGGTGCCCTGGTTATAGTGCCTGCTGGAGTTCGAAGATCGAGATCCCACTGTAGTGCCAACTCTAGGAGAGCCTCGGCCTTCCTTTCGTACCGGCCAAACCGGTCCCATTGCGGATAGTGTAGGTTAAAGTCCCCCGCTAATACTACTGAGTAGGCTGGGGCCGGCCGACTTAGGAGGGTTTGTAGGAGGGTTTTATCCTCAAGGGGGTTATAGATAGACCAGAGTTCTAGTCCACTGTTCCCGAGCCCTGGGAACCATACCTTACAATGTTCCTCTGAAGTCTCATATTCCCACTGTCCTGTGTCGAACTTTCGGCTGACGAATATAGCCGCTCGCCCACTTGCTTTATGAACTAGGTGGTATTTCGAGCCTCTGGGACAGTAGGTTGACTTGGTTTGTTGGTTGATCCATGGCTCCTGAATAGCCATTAGGTCGTACTGCGCTTCTTCTAGCAGGGCCTCGAGTGCCTGCTTGTTTCCTTCGGTGTTCCACAGCAGGACTCTAATTTTCATTAGTTTCCATAGTTGCGTCTTCAGCTGGTTGGGCCTGTTCGGCCGGCTGGGTAGGCTGGGTAGGCTGGGTGGGCTGAGTGGGCTGGGTGGGCTGGATAGCTCCGAATATCCCCCCCCGAACCAAGGCTAATCCGGCTTTGGGAGGGGTCCCTTTCCAGCCACTGAAATCAACGTTGGCCGGCCTCTGCCCAACCGTGGCCTTTTTGCCCCGACTCTCAGAAATCCATACTCCTCCTCCTGTGGTCGGGCCTTCTCGTAGGTGAATGCTGATCTTGGTGCTGTTATAGGCTCCGCAGCTGCTGTCCGAGCTGGCTCGAACACCCTTGGTCGGTATTGGTATGCCTCTCTCGCCTCCTTCTTGGCCCTGGCCCTTCCCGGGCACTCCTTGGCCCAGCCCGGGTGCCTTCCTCCGCAGCAGGGGCACTTACAGGGCACCTGACCCTGCTGGGTAGGGCAGAGGGCCTCCCCGGCCCTCCCGCCCTCCCCATGGGCCCCCGTACCACACCTCCCACACAGGGCCTCTTTCTGGCAAAACCTCTGTATGTGGCCCCATTTCCAACACTTGAAGCACTGTTTCGGTTCCAGCATTGCCCAGTAGGGCTCGCAGTCGAGTAGCTAAGCGTTCCAGATTATCCCCTGGTCACAGGCCTTCCGAGCCTCCTCTTGGTCTCTAAGGGCAACTAGTACCGTCGCCCTGGTAAACCCTGGGTTGGTTGGGACTCTGAACTTGACCTTGTCCACTGACCAAAGGGCCTAGTTCTCCCCCGAACACCTCCTCCCGTAGTACCCTGTAGGTCGGCCCTTCCTCAGGCCCTTCACCAGCACTGCGTAAGTTCTGCCAGCCTCTTTAGCCTGCTCCCCGAAGGCTTGTTGAATCCTACTGGGTGTTGGTTGGAAATGCCAGCTTTTGGTGTTCGAGTCGTTGAACGTTACCACTGTGTCCCCGCTAGGGAGCTTCCGGGCTGCAATAGCTCCCTGCTTGGTTGAAGGCTTGGATTGATGGCCTGCGATGATCTTCGACTGGGGACCTTTGTGCAAGGTCGTGCTGACACGTTGGCTCCCCGCACTAGTAGCTCCCGGTCGGCCCTCTGGGGGATGATTTTCGTAGGTTGAGCTTGCAAGCCTTGCCCGGGCCCTGCGGCCACTGCAGCCCACGAGCGGCCCTGTGTCGCACTTCGGTTGGGTCCCACGGCAGCCTAGGACCGCTCTCCGGTAACTACTTTCTGTAGGTGGGCTGCCGTAAGCCCTCCCAGGCTTTCCTTCGAGTGGTGGTGCCCCTGTTTCTGACTTGCAAATAGGTCGCTTAGGTCCTTTGCGAGGCCCCGGGCCTCTCCTCTGTTCTCGATAGGTACTAGATTTACCAAGCCGTTCAACAGGCCTCTGAAATGCTCTGCCTTAGGTAGTCTCGGGGGGGGTTAGGCGCTGTGGAGGGCCATGCAGAGGGCCCTGCGAGAGGACCTCTACCAGGGGGCCCTCTATGGGGGGCCCCTCCGACGGGGCCGATGGCGGTTGGCCTGCCCACATCAGGGGCTTCGTCTTGCTGGCTTCAGGGGCTTCGTTCCGTTGGCTGGCCGGGTAACGGGGCCAAGGCTCTTAGTGGCTTAGCGGTCGAAAATTTTGGACGCGGTCGACGCGGTCGGCACCCGCGGGTACCCTCCTAACCGTAGCACTCACTGCGGCCGCGCCACTGGTCGCGCACCGTTGCAAGCGGTATTGTTAGATAGGGTTTTTCGAGGGCTTTCGAATGCTGTCGGTTTCGTCGGTTTTGGCCCACTTTTCGTGAGGCGATCTCTCCTTTTTCTTCTTTAGGTACCTTATATTGTTTTGGTTTAATACTCTTTAAGAAGAGCGCCTTTACAAATCTAGCGATGGATGAAGGTGCTTGAAAGTCAGAAAAGACAGGCTTTGGAATAAGAAACCAATTTTTCTTTTCTCTTGTTTTGCTTTTCTTTTCTGTCAACATCAAGTTTATATTTACTTAGAAAGCATCGATCCCACAACTGCACGGCTCGCGAGGAGGATCCTCGACTGGCTGATGGACTCGGGGAGGCTGCCGATGTACAACTTAGCCAGGAGGCTCGAGCTGGAAGCGGCGGCCTAACAACAATCCCCCCCCCCCCCCTCTTTTTCGGAGGCCAGGAGGCCTCCTCCCTTTGTATTCTTAGGCTCACACACACGTATTTTCCTTAATAGTCGGTATGGGCTTTTCATCCGGCCCGCGAGGGCACGGTTTTCCTGTACACTAAATAGCTGAGGGTCCGGCACGCCTTAGGGCATAGCGGAGTATGAATAATAATAATTTTCAGGTAGCTACCCTTGTTGTGTGTCGAAGGGCCAACGATGTGTCCCACGCGGTTTCGAAAGCTCCATCCTCCTCTATTTACACGTTCTCGCAAGACATCCCACCTACACCGCCTATCCTGGCAGCTATTCTTGTGTTCACACAGGAATTCTGCAATTTTGTTCCCGGTGACCGTATATGCCGCCTTGTTTGTCGGGACGTCCGGTTAGTCTCGCCGTGCGGAAGAAAAAGGGGTCAATACCTACATTCGAAGCACGTGAGGTCCTCCCGCCCACAAGTTTCAGCCCCATGTCCCCATATGCCACCTGCAATGTGTCTGTCAAAATTGACCTAAATACCTCTTAAGCAAACAGCAGAAGGGAATTGTCGTTGACACATACAGTTGTAGCATATGCATTCCCGACGCCGAAAAAATGCCCTATTGTGGGGCATTGACCGCCGGTAGCCCTGAACATGAAACCATCAGCGACGAAGGATGTACACAAGCTGCACACAGGGCACCCTACTTTGGACACACGATGGTCAGACTGGTTCCTATCGTGCTGACGCCGACTGATGTGGTGGATCTCCTGCAAGATATATTCGCTCAGCCACAGAAACCACCGAACGCAGCGCGATAGTAATTCACGTTGACCAGTTCCATTTCCAGCTCTCTCACCTGGTCACGAGCCTTCGATCCATCTGAAAGCACCCTCGACGTCGAAGCTTCGATTGTTTGCTTTATTTGTGTGACGAACCTATCTCTGGACCCGTCCTGTTAGGGTTCAGCTTTGGTTGAAGGTAATCTCTCAAGGGTGCTTAGGTTCGGTGCAGCCAAAGGGTGCACAACAAAGACTTGTCTCAACAGCAGGCTCTCGAGCTTGTAGTGAACTGTAGTTGTGATTGCTAACTGGAGAACTCCCAGAGCTCTCCAGAACGAGTGACTATATACTAGTTATCTTAGTGTGCTCAAAGTGCTCAAAGACCTGTCGTTGAGCATTCTGAGCACGGGTTGCTTCGAGTGCTCATAGCTCCCTGGTTGAGCAGAATGAGCACTTGCTCATTCTCTTGGCATGGACCTTCATGAGCAATGGGACCGCTGTCTCATTGGCCGTGTAATCATCCTCAATGATTGGTTCGGGATACTGCCAGCGTCCCCCGCCGCCCGGCTGCAGGCGGCCATAACCGTGACATACATAAATGCCTTCTGGTGTCAACGCGGTTTGTGTCAGAATACGGGATTCACTCGTCCAATCAGGCAATCAAGTATGGTTGTTTCAGCGCTTGTTGCGATGCTCCTCTCATTGTTGTTCGTTCGTGTCTTGCCTGGATCACGACATGTGGGTCCCGTCCGGGTTTTACCCGTCGAGATGAGGGGTGGTGGTTAAGCTGAACATGCCCCGTTTACTTCATATCCGAAGCCTCCACCCCGATATTCTGACAGTTTGGACCACCTGTGGGAGGTAACTAACCAATCATCAATCGCTGTCCAATGCATGTGCCCCGCTCTTAGACATAACGATTTGATCCGGATGTAGTTAGCGGGCTAAGGCCCTATAGGCCCAGTGCCTCCGGGCGAAATAAATTCCATCCATCCGTGATACAAGAATCCTGATACAGTAAAATGGAGGGCCCAGGGTTAGGGTTTGGACCCCCTGGGTGGGCACTTGGGTGCCCCGCAGTTAGATTAGATAAGGAAGCATCGCGTGCAGCCTGCAGTGGAATTACTTCCACGGCAGCCATCGCGACACTTCCTTTGAATATATCAGCCTTTACCACCTTTTCCGCAATTCTCAATTTATTAAAGATACGTCCTGTATCAATCCGTATCCCCACTTCAACCCCGCCGAAAGCTCAGCCGAAACACCATTCAACTCAAGCCTCCTCACAAATCAAATAAGACCCCCTATTTTATTTGGTTGGCTTGGCACGCCCCAATATTTTATTTATTTATTTGGCTAGGTTGCATATTTATTTGGATATATAAGCCAAATACCCATACATAACTCTAACCCTGAACCACACCCCGTTTTTCAGGGGCGAGCATTTGCATGCACCCACACCCGCACTCGCACCCGCACCCAGGCTGGGTGATACGGGACACTGCATCGATTGCAAATAGTAGAAAAAAGGTCGAAGAAAGAGTTATCTTTTTTAAAGGTGCAAAGCGCCTCACAGACTATTTGCAGAGGACCAAAGTGGGGCGGCCTGGCACGGACTATCTCTAAGTAACTTCATCACACAATGGGGATTATTGCATCACTGGGCCAGGCCTGGGCTGGGAACTGGCTGAATCGTACAAAAATGCATTAAAATTCAGAACTGGCCAAATATATTTTTGGCCCATTTAGGCAATTGCCGGCCTGCACCGCCCGCGCGCCCGCGCATCCATCCACCGGCCTGCATGCCCAGGACATCAAGATCACCGCCCACGAAAACCACCGCTTCAGACCTCTCTCTTTCCCACCCAATTCTTCAAGCTTTGGAGCATGTTGATTGAGTCTGCGTGAAGCGAATGTCGTTGGATGCCTACGCAGTGCTTGGCGCGACTGAACAGTCGCTCGCACTCTGATGACATGGCCGGGATGGAGAGATAATCGAATGCCATTGTAGAAAGCCGTGGATACTGTGAAATATTGGCCTTCCACCACGCCAGAGGCTCATCTACCTGCTTGGGCCGCTCAGAGAGGTATTGGTCAACCTCATTGTGATCCTCTATGTCGTCATAATAGTTGGAGCCGAGGAGGAAGCTGTTGCGCCCGGGACGGTCCTGGTGCTCTGGATTGTCGGTCTCGAACGCAGCATCTTGATGGAAATACTGGCTCTTGAAATACTGCTTGAATGCGTCGATCCAACTGTCCATCTGAGCCGGCTTCAAGTTCAACTCCATCCACCTTCTTCTGTGCCCTGGGTGTAAGATCATTGCGAACCAGTATGCGTGCGAATCGCCGAGGAAGGCGATGTACTCGTCGAGCTTCGTGACGGCTGATGCGATGCCCGCTTCAAGTGGATGTACGGTGATGGTATCATCCAGGGCAGGTGGGAAGACGGTCTCGACGGTGTAGTCTGGGGTTAGGGTTATATATGTGTGTGGAACCCATTAATCTTGGCAAATAAGTCAAATAAGCCAAATAAAGCTTGGCAAATGTGGCGCTTTATTTGCCAAATATAGGGCCGTATTTGGTTTGGCTTATTTGCCAAGTATTTTATTTGGTTGCGAAATATTTGATTTGTGAGGAGCCTTGATTCAACTTACTACAATACATTACCCTCAAAGCTTACATAGCTGTAAGCTCCATCCACTCGAATATACCTTTAAGTATCCTCTCAGATACAATGGTGGGACTTCTTCAGCTTCCTAACGAGCTGCTCGCTGTGATATTTGGCGGCCTAGACGCCCAAGGCTTCTCTGCCCTCCGGTTGACGTCGAAATACGCCAAATTGGCTACGTTGCCAGCTTTCATCAGCCGGTACTTCCAGATCCGCTACATAGTGCTCTCAAGGCTCAGCCTCGAGAACCTTGCGGAGATTGCACGACATCCAGACTTTGGCCCTGCTGTGAGAACACTAGAACTCTGTACGGATCATTTCGTGGAGTTCCCAGATATATGCGATCATATTGCAAGGCATGAAGGCGACATATCACTGGCCATACAAGAAGGTCGATACCCTCCCGCAGCTTCAATGGGCAGCATAGATGATACATACTCATCCGGCGAGGAGGAGAACCAAAGCATTGGAGAGGAAGGTGGGGGTACCGATGAAGGGAGTCTCTCGTCTCAGGACTCGTATGAGGCGCCTTTGGATAAGGCGGCTTATACGTCACTGTGGGAAGAGCAGCAACACATAATCATGTCCGGCCTTGCGCAGGCCTACATCACGCAGGCGCTGATTTCTCTTACCAACATTGAGGCTGTCGTCATTAGCAACATGCACCGGCCCTGGGGTGCACTAGCGCATGGCCGACAAACAGGTCGACCGCCAACGAACGTCCTAAACGATTACGAGGAGGTTCCGTTTTTGGGCCAAGTCCTTCGCATTACCCTTACAGCTGTTGCTACGAGTGGTGCCGCTCTTAGCAGCCTTGACATCACAGCTGGCCTCCCTAGGGAGGCGATTGGGCCAGACATTCTCAGACCCTCGGAGTCACATTTCCAATATTATAAGAACCTCCCTCCAAGCCTTACGGAGCTCACACTAAATGTATCCGCTGAGGCAACGAGGGGCGCCGAGGACCGATGGGCAGATGATCTATCAGCATTTCTCGGGGTGTTTCCACAACTCACACAACTGAATCTGGTCATCTCACCCGTCAGCTTCCGCCCACAGATTGACCGGTTAAAACAGCTCGCACCAAAACTTCAACTACCGAATCTACAATGCCTAGGACTCTATAAGGCATATTGTAGCCTACTGGATCTTGCAATTTTCATCGGGAGGCACAAAGCAACACTCCAAAGCGTTACTTTGGTCCGAGTAGGAGTTTCGGGTGGAATTGGCCACTGGAGATCTTTGTTCGCTCTGTTTCGTGATCATCTCCCAAGGCTTGAGTTATCCATAAAACTATGCACTGCAGGGGGGCTTGCTTTATTGTATCGAGCGGAAGACAAAAACGGAGAGGAACTTGAAGATTGTTTTGATGTCGGGGGCAGTCACGAAGCCTGGACGACGGCAATCCAGATGATAAAGACAGGATAGATGTGACTAGCTGGCCCGTGGGTAGGTTCGGTGATGCCAGAATCTGGTGGGTTGGAGTCCCACTTGGATGGGTTATGCTAGAACCGTTATGCTAGAACCGTCCATGCCCCGTTCTAGCAACACGATAAAGCTATCTCTTTCTTTCCTGTAGCTTAGCTCTCTCTCTCTTTCTCTCTTCATTCGAAGCAATCTAGTCCATTCGCGCCTCGCCTTGTGCACCACTTCAACGCCAACGCGTGACCTGTTACAATAGATGCATTGTTAGGGTCGCCTGGCTATTTAAAAATTGAGAGTCTCTTGCCAGCGGCACTATTTCCCTTGCAAAGGACGGATGGATGGATGGATGGATGGATGGACTTCATTTCGCCCGTAGGTGCTGTCGGGTGTGGTGGGTTAGGTGGTTAATTGGCCTATAGTTCGTTCGTGTCGAGTCGGCTTGTGGCCATTGCGAATCGCTGCTTGCGTGGACGGCTGCCATACTAGGAGTCCAGTCCTCTTTATCCGATAGCAATTTCCCCATAAATAGGAGGAAGTATTGCTTCTCTGAGTATCTATATATTCGAGTATCTCTGTTCGATATACCGTCCATTTTCTATATCGGAATAGGAAGAATACCCTGTCTCTTTTGCTTACCTACATATGTATCGGTCTGACAGGGCTACTCCGACTCAGTGGAGGTAACCGTTGAGTCTTGCTATACCTGTTCTGAGCTGAGCAAGTTCGGCAACCTCCTTTCGTGATAGATGATGGCATAGCACTTGGGTGTATTTGCCTGGTAGAGCCGCGTCGACTCGCTTGGAACGAGCTCCGACTTTGTCTGGCAGGTGATTACTGCTTCCTCTCCTGGGGAATGTTCGGGGAATGGCCGCTTGGAAACGCGGTTCTGAAGCGGGTTACAGTGGACGGTGCGCCGGCTACTTTCATGTTGCATGCAGTTCACCTGGGACCCATGTGCAAACCAGAGGATGATCGGACACCGGGGAACAGAGGATCGGGGCAACATTCCCTCAGCCAAGAGCCGCCACCCAGCGAGACACAAGAGCAAAGGGTCCACGAAGAACGAGGACAAGCCGACTTCAACTTCGAGGAGGGCGAGATACACGGTAGCGGACGACGCAAAGATCCATCAGCTGAATGAGGAGGGGTCTTTCTTGGATCGCGATCGCCAAGCATTTCCCAGGCTGAAGTGCCGGGGCCATTGAGGTGAGGTACCACACCAAGCTCAAAACCGCCGACCCCTCGCACTCTCGGGCGGTCTCCCCAGTGGTTGACGACAACGGCGGGGAAGAAGAGTGGGAGGTAGAAAAGATTTGTAGCGACAGGAGGTTGGATGACGGCGGCCTAGAGCTGCTTGTGAAGTGGAGAGGTGGAGAGGAGACATGGGAGCCTTATGAAAACGCGGCGGTGACGGAGGCGCTTGACGAGTATGAGCGCCTTCACGGCCGGGTTGGAGTAGATATTCTGTGAGATTTTGTGAGTCCTACAGTTCACGGCGTCCTCTACTAGCCTAAACGTCTAAGATTTCCTGTGCTCGTCCACGTAAGGGCATGAATTGTATGGACTCTGTGTCTGTGCACGTGAGAGATTCGCGCTTGCCCGCAGTCCGACTCCGTTACTCGACCGCATTCCTATCTCTACCCCCTCCCTTTCCCCGCCGCCCAATTCCTTGACTGCAACGAACACCACAGCAAGCGCCACGACCTTCCTAGCCCGCGGCGCCCACTGGATCCCCCCAGCCCACACCGGCTCCCTATATCTCCTCGCCGCCGCGGCCGTCCGCCAGTCCGACAAGCTCGCCGTGGGACCAATGAATCATAGATCAAGGTTAGAGTGGAGCGGAGTCCAGATACACTCGTCAACATCCTTGTAGATATCTGCCTCGGTGGGATCGTCCTCTTCGTCGCAGGGCGGCCAACCCTCCTCCACGTCCTCGTCATCAAACGGGTTATCGATACACTGAGCCCGAATCTGTTTCCATGTCATATCCGGCAAGTCACGCCGAATATCGGATTCGATGAACGGCGAGTCCTTTTTCTCCTCATAGTTGACACCAGAGCCCCGCTTCACGATGACCATCGGTTCTTTCTTTTGCTCGTCGCCAGTCATCAGTTCGGGGTCTGCGGGGAACACGTCCGCTCGCAAGTCCTGGCCATGGTAAGGTTTCTGTTCGAACGTTACCCTTCTGCTTGGGTCAACGATCGAACCGTACAGGGCTGGCTCCTTGGCTCGGTAGACTGTCACAGAAGGGTTCGAGGTTATGCCGTCGCGACCTTCAATGACGGTTTGCTAGTGCTTTGGTTGGGACTTCCTCCAGCATCTGGGTTGAGCCCCCCAGTCGACCATCGGGTGGGAGATGTTGTGTTCCGACGGGAACCCGAGCATTGCTGAGCTAAAGCAGATATAGCGCAGGGTTTTCCATCCGTTGCCGTCCTTGATGAGACCGCCGAGTGTATCGTAATTGACCTGAAACCCATGGCCGCCGAGGACTGTGAGTCGGTCGAGCTGCAGGCCTGGAAGAAGCTTGAGAACAGAGGCAAGGCGATAATAGACGTCGTCATCGAGGTAGCTGAGCATGAGAGTATCGCCGCTAACTCTCATGTGGCGTAACTTTGAGACAGTCTCGTCGAGCATTGCTTTAATGTTCTCAAAGCAAAATAGGACGCGGCGTAGCCAGGATTCGCCAATCTCGAGCTGCACTCGTCGACACGTGCGGAGCAGAGCAAGGCCGTTCGGCTCGGGCTTGATCTTGACCCTACCAATGCGGCCGGTCGTCCTCTCTCCGAAAGTGAATCTCGTGGAATAGAAGAGCTGAGTCTAGATATGGTCTCGAATTTCCTGCGGAAGTCTCTGGAAGAGCAAGCTTCCTGTTTGCGGATCAACTTTGGTGGTCTGTTCCGGGTCCTTGCTGCCCTGCGGCTTAGGTTTTTTTTTTTTTCCTTCTTGCGTTTTTTCTTCGCCATAGTGATGGTAACGCTGTAGTACCTGTCGTGTCTACCAAAGGGCTAGATTGTTCACAATCCCTTCCACGTGAATTTGTCAGAGGGACAGGCACGACAATAAGGAGGTTGGTGATAGTGCACTGGTTGGTTGTTGGTTAGCTCTAAGAGGCCGCAGCTCCGAGAGCCGTAGGCAGGCAGTGCAAGGGGCGGGGTAAGGTGCAATCTGCTGTCCAATGACCGATCGCTGGGCAGCTAAGCTGCCAAATCAAACGAGACGATCCACGTGCCAGAGCGCGAGGTCGGCAGGGGAACTTCTGTTTATTTCATCTGTTCCTTCTACCGCTCGGGCGAGTTTCTGCAGCGGGGATAGGTATAGAAGGTGGAAGCAAGTAATGGCACAATTATGCTGTTGGGGTACTTGGGGCGATGACAATCATCTAATTACCTCACATGCTCATCTCACTTACCTTCAATGTTTTGCAAGCTTCACAACTCGGCTTGTGCGTGTTTCTGAAATTAACCACAAACTCCACTAGCTGCATCTCGATAGCAAAAGGTCAAAGACTAGGCGCTGGCTTCACATCATCCTCGTATATCTTGACGCATCTCTCCTGAAAGCTACCAGGATGGACCCAGGTCGCAATAACTAGCGCAGTCGCAAACCTTGAACCTAACCGTCAGAAAACTGGAGATACCGGGTCTTTCCTCCCTTCAGCATTCGCCCTCTGCTTTCATAATCCTACGACTTATCACCACTAGCACCTAACCCTCCACAAAGAACCTGCACTCACGCAGCGATAGGTATTGTCCACAGCATCGCGTCCACCCCCCCCCTTTTTGCCGTCATGGCCTGCCCAACCCTCTATAACCCCCCACACAATGCTTTGGTGGGCTCGAAGCATTGCTCCCGGGGTACATCGTGACGGAAGCCCCGACGCAGCTCACTCTCGTGCGTGGCTCGCGCCCCATGCTGCGGTGGCAGTGGGTAATTTGCCGAAAGGAAAGTTGGAAGTAAATATAGATAGAGAGGTATATTAATGACTGAACGGCAAATGGGACTCGATGTAAGGAGGGGTGTGGTAACATCTGCCGTCTTCATCTTGAGCACAACAAGTCTACCTTACGTGGCACCTGAGAGGTGGTAGGGTAGGTCATTATCTTCAAAATGGATAGAGTTTGGGGACGTAAATGGTAGTCGAGATTGTTAGGGCGTCCCCGCGTCCCGGCAAGTTTCCTATACTTGTTCATACCAGAAGCCAAGCCGGTTGGGAACATTTACCTCCCAGCCTGTGGACTGCCGACGTACTATCGCCGTTGGAACACTCCGCCCGTCCCCTATCGCCGCTCCCGGACCGCCTGAAGAAGATCCTCAAACGCCCGGGTATCCCCCCGTTCCGTCTCCTTTGCCCGATTGAGAGGGTTTTGGAGCGAGTATCTTCCGCGTTGCGCAACCTCCTCCATCGGGCAGACGGCGGGATCGTTGTTGCCAAAGTTCATGTCACCAGTGTATTCCCCTGTGGAGATCCACGGGCTCGGACAAAGTCCCGCATCAAAGACGATGTATCGAGACGCCGACATATTCGCGCCCATCTCCTCTCGACGGTCGAAGGTGTTGTGCCAGTGGTGATGCACACAGCCGAACTCCCGGAGGTTGGGGAGGCCCTCGCGAATGCCGTCGTACACCGTCTCCCACGTGCCCGAGAAGGCGAAGATTTTGGAGCCGTAGAAGCCGAACGAGCCCTCGGGGTACTCATGCCAGTCGTGGGTCGGTACACGCCACTCGTTAAATTGGCTGTCCAAGACGCGCAGGTAGGAAACGACAAAGCACCTGTCGAGCCGCAAAGTCTGGAGGGACTTTTGGGCCAGGACCCAGTCGAACTGATCGTGGTGTCCGATGACGAACTCGCCCAGGGTCAAGGTCCTGAGATTGGGGAACACGAGACCCTTGCCGTCAAAGTAGGCGGGGATGACACCCCAGCACTCCCTAAAGGTCAGGGTCAAGGACGTGAGCTGATGAGCCAGAGGAGGCAGGAGTTCATTTTGAAGGTACGGTTCGAACGTCTGGCGCTCGATGCGGTCGAGGTCATAGTCGGGCCCATGTTCGTTGTACTCGTGGGTAATGAACAGGTGTAGCTCGTTGAGATCTTTGATGACATCCTTATAGAGGTCGGATGAGGCGAAATCTGAGATTGCGACGTTTTGTAGGTTCTTGAGAGTCAGAGATCGAATCGTGCTGGTCCTACTCGCGTTGGCGCGTCGTTTCTGTATGGCTCCAAACACAGTCTTGAGCGTCTGTAGCCGGTGAGAAATCGACTCGACTCCCTCATCGTCTCCCCACCACCCCACTTCTCTAGGACCTAGGCACTTTTCGGAGAACCAGATCTGCACCGACTTGAGATTCGGTAGCTGAGCAATGCTGGCCACGGCGACGTCAAACGGACTGTCCTCCTCATTGTCCTCCGTCACCCAGTCCTCCGCATCGCTCACCGGGTCCTCGTCCATGTCCAGCGCATCTGGATGGCTCTGAATGACAACGTCCTGGACAAGCGGTTGGATTGTCTCGCTGTTGACGGCGTGGGTCCACGGTATGTCTTGCCGGGACCGCACTTCCTCGTTTGGCGCATAATCCAAGACCAAGGTCCGGAACAGGTGTCTTGTTGCGAATTCGTGCCACTGCCGGCAGACAAGGCGGGCGTTGCGGAGGTGCCCGTGGTTGATGGGGGATTCGGGGTCATCGTCGTGTTCGTACTCGAAAAGCTGGCCAAGGACAAGATTCAAGATCTCGGGTGGGATGTCTCTGATACTCATTGCGGGGGAATCGGGGATTGTTATTGAGAACCTAGGGATGAAAGGGTGTGTGGTTGGGTGAGTTCATGAGCTAATGTGATTTATGAGTTTATGTGGTGGAGCGGAAAAGAAAATCAATCCGGCACACTTTTGGTGTTCTTTTATCATCGCATCAAGCCCCCTTTTCCCCTCCCCCTATTTCTCGAGGCAGAAGATTGCGGCGACAGGCAGCAGAGGCTGAGGTGGGGCTGCCTGTGAGCGCTCGGACCAAGGAACCGACTTAGGCAGCCATGGCCCAAAACTCGGTGATACTAGTAGTGTGTTCACTGTTCCCGGCCGGGGCTAGTGGTGTTTGTCCGAAACCTGAGGAATCTAGACTCGGCTGAGTTGCATTGTGGATGGTTGGCAAATTCTTGATTTGGTCCCAGTCAGATTTGGGATCTGAACGTTTGTCCGTACAATCACAAAACGGGACGATTTTGGCTAAAAGAAATTGGGACTCCTCAATGGATGGTAGGCGGCCTGATGTTATGGCCCGGCAAAGGTCCAGTTATCATCAAGTTATCATCAATTATCCTGTCCGGAGGACAATATTGCGGCCAAACTCCCAGAAATTACTATGAGAAATTGCGCGAAAAATACAAAAAAAAACCCCGAAAAATTAATGCGATCTGGCAACTGGTCGAAAGCACCCCGCTCCCCACTTTTCTGCAAACCCCACTTTTCTGCAAACCGCGCTTTGAGACGCGTAAATTGGCTGCAGTGTCCGTGTTTGCCCGTGTCCATCTTTGTGTTGCCCTGTAACTTTGTTTGTTTTGTTTACTCTCTTCCGAATCCAACTTTTTCTGCCCAATATGGAGGTCAACGGAGAATCGTCGGCCAGCGAATTTTCGGAGTAGGAAGCGATGCGACTGCGTAGGTAAAGTGCAAGTAGAGCGCCTGGCGACGATGTGGAAAGATGAGCGCGCGATGCTGCATGTGGCGCCATGGACTTGTATTCTGGAAAAAATCATCCAGCCACATAAGGTACCTATCACGCTTGGCATTGGCACCAATGAGGCCGTCCCCTCCTAACTCCGGAAGGAACGGCTTGTGTGCCAGGTGGACACGGCCGAGAAGCGATAAGGAAGGACCCGCGTAAACAGCAGATTCTCAACTGGATCTGCACCGGACAGCACAGAATCCAAAACGACTACGTCAAGCCGCCCCTTGGTAGCGAGCAAAGCGTGCAATTTAATCATGATGACAACGATTGTGATACCGACTCCACGGAGCAGGAAACATCGTCCACCATCAGCTCAGCGTCCCTCCCGGACCGACTGGTCGGCGCCGACGACGATCTGCCGGCCATCAACCGCGTCTTTCGCGACGGTCGGGCGACGTACGGTGGACGCGCTTTGTCACGGATGTGCCAACGGGCGGAACCACAGGCCAATCGCTGAACAAACCAATCAGGGAACCCACATGAGAGGCTCAGTGAGCTCAGTTGGAGGGTACAACTGAGCACACTGAGCACCTTTGCAGGAGCCAGACAATCATGACCCAGGAATGGGACAAATATCTCAGTGAGCTCAGTTGGAGGGTACAACTGAGCACACTGAGCACACAGGACTCAGATAGGTATATAGTCACTCGTTCTGGAGAGCTCTGGGAGTTCTCCAGTTAGCAATCACAACTACAGTTCGCTACAAGCTCGTGAAGCCTACTGTTGAGACAAGTCTTTGTTGTGCACCCTTTGGCTGCACCGAACCTAAGCACCCTTGAGAGATTACCTTCGACCGAAGCTGAACCCTAACAGGACAGGGTCCTGAAGTAGGTTCGTCACAACTGGGTATGGTTGGTCAAAAGGGGGAAGCATGTGCTCCGCGACGTCCAGCTCGGCTTTCGACAAGATACTGGCAGGTTTGTTGCAAACGTCCCGGACCACCTCGAAACCGTCCGCGGTTGTTGGTTGGTATTCAGTACTGAGGTTGTCAAGCTGGAACCCTCGATGGAATCCACACTTCGCATGCTGGGTGGGTTTATGAGGGAAGTAAACGGCGACCGCGACAAGTGTGTTGTGGCGATGCCAGGGGTTACGAACCATCCATGGCTGAAGGGTTGGAGGGGTTGTGAGTGACTTCTGCCGTGGGGCAAAGTTGGTCGGTTGGGGCAGCGGCTGTATATGCCAGTGGTACACTACGGTTGGACGACTCACCAGGGGCCAAGGTGGGAGCCGCATCAATTGCCGCGGCGTGTATGCCGTTCCATCTGCTGCCAGATAACAAGCTGGTATGTAAGACGCGGCTGCGTAAAGTGTGGCGCTGCGAGACACGGTAGGGTAAGAGAAGCTAGTGTAGGGTGTCGCGGTAAGAGGCGGAATGGACGCGGTATACGCGCGGGCGTCATCTGCGGGACGAGCGGCCACCGCATGTGTAGGTGTCGATTCTGTCGCTACCGGCATTAGGAAGGGAGTGGTGTCGTATGCCGTGGTATCGTATACCCGGGAGTCGCCGTACTCGATGGTATCAGCCGCCTCGTTTTCAGACGAACGGGGCCGAAGGCCCGGGTGGCCCAGGCTTATATTCGGGAGCCGAAAGAGGCCTTGCAACACTGGCTTTTCTTCGTAGTATTTCTCTCCACAAGAACAAGGTAGGCAGCAGGTCCTCCAAGCCAGGGCCGAGCCATGGAATCCGACCTTGCAGATGTCGAGACCCTTCTTGCATTTCTGGCACTTGGAAGCATATTTTAGTTGGTTTCCCATCCGGTGACCACACCTGTTGCAAGAGCTCTTGCGTCCCGACTCGGCTGGAATTCCGTTTTTGGGGGGTAATTAGAAAATACCGGCAAACGTCGGTAGCCAACAGGAGAGGAGGATAGCCCGAGGAGAAACGCTGTTAGAGTGAGCACACTGCCACAGGGCAAGAGGCCGTCAGCGAGACACAGCTTCTAATGCTTTATGGCCTTGGATCTTGCGTCCGAAGGGATGTGAAAAGGGGTTGGCGTTTTGCTACGAAGCTCGCCGACCAGGCTGGGCAAATACAAATACAGACAGCGGCAACGACAGCACTTTCTGCCCCTACGCCACCCGCCATGCTAGTCATACCAGCCGGGCCCTGTTGATGCCCGATATACTCTTATGCTTCTGCTGGTGCTCCGGCGTGTGCCCAGAACGGAGCCTTTCCGCCCCTGCATTGTGAAGTAACCTCCGAGATGAGTTCCACATGGCATAGTAGTCGATAGGACTGTAGGTCGCTACCTGACCTGAACCCCTTGCGTCCCAGTTCTGTAACAAGTTACCAAGAAGGCAGACCGGGCTCTCAACATTGTCCCATCGTATTCCCGGGGCATCAGGCGGAGGTTCTATCCATACAACCAATAGAACTGACGTGATTTGGTATATAGGTACCTCACTTTTCCATCCCCTTAAGTCAATCCTTCTCCCCTAGCCCCCCTGCGTAGCCCCGACAACTTCATGACTCCCCTCGGTGCCCCGACGTATTTGCAAGCTACCAAATATCCCTTGTGGGACACCATGGAGAGCCGCCTAGACACTGCCAATGTCATTCTGTGTTAGGTCGGCATACTTGCTGCGGTAAGTTCTCGATTTGGTTTCGGCCACTGGTTGTTCTGTTTTCTCTTGGAACCTGAGGCTTTCGGCATCTTTCGCGACATGGAGTGTCCCATCTATCTACCTTCCTGTCTACTTAGGTACCTTCCTTCAAGCGTTACTATCCAGCGCCAACGCTGTTATGGAGCCGCCGGTTCTCGCTTACCCCCACATTGGGCTGCATGCATTCACGCTAGTAAGGCACCCGTGCGGCGATGTTGTAGTCATGCTTGGTCCGACTCTCGTTCTGGCATCAGCCGCCAAGTTAAATACATGTACGTAAAAGGTGCTTCGTCCACGCTGCCTGCCCTTGTTTCTGTTAATTTGGCTCCCAGATAACTAGTGTTTATGTTATACAACGAATTGCCTCATACATGAGGTTTCGACAGCAACATCACCTAACATGAACGCTATGGCGATTCAATCCGAGACGCCGAACAAACTTCCTACGGATGGCGACGGCAGCCCGCTATCCTGGTTCCAGCAGCGGCTCTGGGTCCACCAGGAACGAAACCCAGACGACACTAGCTATAACCTCCCCTTCGTGCTGCTTCTCCGGGGCAACCTTAACGTCTTCGCGCTCGAGCAGAGCCTGAGCGCCATCGCAACCCGCCATGAGAGCCTACGGACCTACTACGACCTGGCAGGGGATGGTGAGCCGCTGCAGTTCGTCGCGCCCCCTGGGCACGTGCCTTTACCGGCTGTGTCTGTCGACCGGCTCCAGCTGCTGGAGGCCCTCGACCGGTTCCTGGAACACCGCTTCGACCTGCGCCGGGGGCCCATCTTCATCGCCCGCCTGTTGCGGTTATCCAGCGCTCAGCACCTTTTGCTCTTCAACGTGCACCATATTGCGGCGGATGCGTGGTCTCTCAAGGCCATCCTGCGCAGGGAGCTGCACAGCGCGTACGGAGCATTCTGCCAGGGGCAGAAGCCCGTGTTGCCCTTGTTGACGGTCCAGTACCGAGATTATGCGCAAGAACAGCGAGCCTCGCATATGTCCGCGCATCTCGACTACTGGAGCGAAACCCTCAAGGGCTACGAAGACAGCCTGGAACTACCGTCAACGTTTCCACGGCAGCGCAAGTCCGGCACCACGAGCGGGACCTTCGTGTACCACTACCCGCGCGAATTTTCCCGGGAGCTCGAGCGTCTGTCCCGCGAAAACGGCTGCACCATGTTCATGTGCTTGCTCGCGGGGCTGACTGTCATCATCAGCCGCTATGCCGACAAGGACGACCTCTGCATCGGAACCACGACGGCCAATCGGCCAGATGTCGCACTCGAGCCGCTGATCGGTTTCTTCGTCAACATCCTGCCACTGCGGATGCGCGTTGACGAACGGAGCACCGTCGCCGAGTTGCTAGACGCTGTGCGCTCCCAGGTGCTGCACGCCTTCGAACATCCGGTGCCATTCGAACGAATTCTCCAAGCTACCAATGTGGCACAACGCGGCAGCGGGAATCCGCTGGTCCCCATCATCATGAGACATCAAAACTTTCCAGAGGCGTCGCTCGGCGCTGCCCTGCCGGACAAGGTGACGTTCCATGCCTACCCGGAGCCGGACGAGGCCGATGAGGAGGTGCTCGAAGTGCTGGCTCGGGACCGTACTGCGGCCCGGTGTGAGATCGAGCTGTCATATTCCGGAGGCGTGGAGGGGCTGGCTGTCGAGGTTATGTTTGCTGCCGACTTGTATGACCGCGCGGCCGTCGAGCGCCTGCTCAGCCAGCACCAGATCGCCTTGGAGGGCATGTTCCACGACGCTACGCAGCGTGTGTTTGAGTTGCCGCTGCTACGCGACCGTGATGTCGACGAGATATTGGAGTGGAGTGACCGCGCTGTGATGGTTGAGGTCCCGACGGCGTCGTTTGTGGAAAGGTTTGACGAGCAGGTACAGCAGGTGCCGGATGCGGTGGCCTGCTGGGACCGGCATGGGGCGTGGAGTTACCTCGACATCGCCCGGCGGACACATAGCGTCGCGCACGCTCTTGCAGCCCGTGGCATCGAACCTGGGGACCTTGTCGCGGTGTGCCTTCCTCGGGGCGGGGACCTACTCGCGACGCTACTTGGCGTCTGGCGCACGGGAGCCGCCTACGTGCCGCTCGACCCGGCATATCCCACAGCCTACACCCGGCAGATCATTGAGGATGCGGCTCCGGGAACCGTTGTTTGTAATGCGAAGAATCAGGCCTTGCCTGATGTCGATGACTCGCGGTATTTACGGCTGGAACAGATCACGGGTACGACAAATGCGTATAAAGGGCAGCCCATACAACTGAACACCCTCGCGTACGTCATGTACACGTCAGGATCTACTGGCAAGCCCAAGGGCGTCCGCGTGCCTCACCGCCAACTCAACAACTGGTTGCTGTCTTTGGAGACAAGCCTACCGTTCCAGCCTGGTGAAGTCGTGGCCCAGAAGACGACGTCGGTCTTTGCGGCCGGAGTCAAGGAGATGTTCGCGGGGTTGCTCAACGGTATTCCGCAGGTGACTATCGACGACGGAACCCTCCGCGATATGGGTAGCCTTCGTCGACACCTTGGCCAAGCACCACATCACCCGCCTCAACATCCTCCCATCCCACCTCGCAACCCTCATGGACCACCTGAACTCAACCGGGCAAACAATTCCCCACCCTCAAAATCTGCACCACAGCCGGCGAGCCACTCTCCAAAACCACCGTCCTCACCTTCCGCACCACCTTCCCCACCGCCCGCCTCCTCAACAACTACGGCTGCACCGAAACCAACGACATCAGCTACTACGACACCGCCACCCTCCCCCCGACCCTCGACTTCGTCCCCCTCGGCCACCCGATCACCAACACCAAGCTCTACATCCTCGACCACCACCACCGCCTCGTCCCCCCCGGCGTCCCCGGCACCCTGCACATCTCCTCCGCCAGCCTCCCCGACGGCTACCACCACCACCACACCAACAACCCACCCCGACCTTCCTCACGAACCCTCGCCACTTCCTCCTCGTGTGGGATCAATTTCAGGGCAAGAAGCTCCTGACGAAATACCCGATATGCCCCGGTACCCTTATCATGGTTATGCAACCTGCGCGGATTCGGGCAGGGGCGCGCACTTCTGGGGGAGTCGATTAATCTCCGTTGCTTCAAGCTCTCTACCTAATGTCCCGGGCCGATCTCACCGACGGGGGTGTGCACGCAGTCAACGAAGATGTGGCGACCCTTCGTCCATCTGGAACTCTTCTCCGTCTCATATAGCTAATGGTCAAGGGGAAAAATTCTCCTAATTTCCTTCTTCAAGACCCTTCAACCGAAGGTCTCAACGAACTAGCATCAAAGGTGGATTGCTCGGATTC